TGCAATCCGTATGGGGAAGTCAGTATGGTCAGTATGTTGTAAAGGTTTAAGAAGTTCACACACGGTTCTGTTGCAGGCTTGCACAGCCGAACACACAACACGCTCTTCCAGGCATTATAAAAGACAATTCCATGACAGCCACGGGACAAACAGCTTCACGCAGCTAGATGGCACTGCTATAATGGCAGCACTGTTTAGCACGGTTTGGCCTGGTCAGTCTGCAAGAGGCGATTGCTTTCGTCTTGCTGTCTGTGGCCCGCCCCCTTCATTTGCATTTTATTATCAAGACACGAGGAAAGAATGTGTCGTGAAATAATAAAACAGAACATCAATTTTAAAAAAAAGATGAAGAAAATAAATACATGGGGAAAGAAAAAGGCAGTTAAATTATAAAAATATATTTATTTTAATCTTGACCTTTGAACGAACAGAAAAATAATAAAGATGTATTATTTAGTTTGAAACCAAAAAACGTTGTATAATAATATGTATTTATTAAATCGCATGATTTGTTGTGTTATTGGCAGAATGTGACATTTATTTATTTATTCATTTATTTATAATTTTGACAGTTTTGGTCCTCCATAATGCAGTTTGATGGTAAAATTGCATAAAAATCAAGTGAGATGCCCCAAAGAGGTAGATATAGGGATCTACCAAATAGTCAAGGAAACAATTAAAGGGGTAATGGCCTGTTCATCGATCCCTCCATTCTCTTTCGCTTAATCCATACCCGGATTGTGGAGGCTGGCCCAGAGAAGCCCAGACTTCCCTGTCCACACACATCCAGAGGAATCGTTTGGTATTTAAATCTTTCATGTTCATTATTTTTAAAGGTTGGTTTTTTTATGTATTTATTAACAAATAGCCAGTTCAGATGGACCACATGAAGAGCAGCAATAGATTCTGCTCAGTTTTGATTTGACAGTTTTTTGGCACACCTGCCTCACCCAATCTGCTGCTACTATTGTACATATATGGTGACAACTGACCGTTTACTCAAATTCTGAATATAAAATGTTATGTCTATGTTATTGTGATTATTTTGGTGGATACTAACCGCTTCTTCCAGACCACTTATCTATCCTTTCTTCCATACGGCGTCTCTCTTTCACTGCCTGTTTGTCCAGTACAAGCCTCCAGTTCTTTTGAGGACAAGCCTGGCAGCTGTCACTCCCATCATGCACCAGTCCTTCTCCCTGCTCTCTGGCCCCCTGCTGTTGGCGGGTCTGGCTGCCTCTGAACATATGCCAGGGCCCGTGCGTTCCCCGCGGCCCGGGACATGATCCACTCTGCAGCAGCAGTAGCTGGTGGCAGCCTTGACATGATCTGTGTCTGCAGCAGTGAACGGAGGCTGTCACTGCACCAGATGTATCACAGAGAACTGACAAACGTGCAGTGACAGGGCAGGGCCTACACACTGTTGTACCAGGCCTGTGTCACTGTGGCTTAGGCACACACCACCACAGCGGCTGACCGGCAACATGTGCTCGCCCTTTCACTTTCACCAGCAAGGGCCTGCTTCGTCATGGCAACGCAGACCAGTGATTGCAAACTGTCTCGTGTGATGATCCAGAGTTAAGGACATTTATGGACATTGGTCGTCTGCCACTTATGGACAATGGCTGTCTGTGTTTTTATCATTGCATTGTGTTTGATTCTCTGATCTGTTGTAAACAAATCGTCAACTTTGTGAAGTCCGCTGAGATGGATGCTGTTGTCCCTGAGGGTTATAGATTAAGAGATCCTTCATTCGTCCCATAGTGGGGAGATTTCAGTAAACAAAAATACATTGAATTGAATTGAATAGTATGATTTCTTTCTGTATTTTTTGCTCAAGACCAACACCTTAATATTGATGATGATAAATGAAGAAAAGGAATAGTAAAATGAAACCAAGTTCCTTGATCCTATTGACATAAAGCTTCAGTTTCATTGGTCCCAGACCTCATTACCCAGAGACAGATTCTTCAGAGGGACTTGGTCTGTGGCACATATAAATATGTCATTATTTAACATGTCATGTTGAATGGGAAATCCCCAATACAATATGTTTCAATTACATTTGAGAAAAACGGATATATTCATGAAAAAACAAATACTAAATGTATGATTAACCTTTGAGCAGAACAGTCTGTGAGGGCAGAGCCTCTGCAACAGTCTCCCTCTGCACAGGAGAGCCCTGCACTGATCAGCTTTAATATGGCCAAAAACAAACCAGTCATGTGGCCACTGGACCCTCACGTCCTTGTGCTGTCTATCTTAAAATCTATTTAGCAATTTCTTATGTGGTTTTCTTGCCGAGGGGCTAGCAATGAAAATGATGCCCTGGGGCAGACTGAGAGAAGCCAGACTGTGGCATCAGTGCCTGTTGAGACTCACCATCACACACCGGACACAGCAGGCACAGTTCTAACCAGGACCTGATCTGATGAGATCAGGCTATCTTTGAAAGGGAAATCAGATTGTTCGAAGATATATGATAAAAGAAATAGTAGTAACAGTTTAGAGTCCCAATACTGTAATAATATAATATTAAGGATAATTATCATGAAAAAGCACAGTTCTCCTGGCCTCAGAAATTCAAAAGGCCAGACAAGATTCACAGGTGAAAACCACTGATGACTTTTTTATCTGGTAGATTTTTTGTTGTTTTTGCTATTTTAGACCCAATCACACAGAAGTGTCAGACTTTGGGGACTTTTTCAGCTCCTGCTCTGGGACTGTCCTTCAAAACCAGGAACCTTTTGGTGACACATGTCCACTGACCTTATTCTTCTGTATTCCTAAATCACTCTTTTGGACTGTTGTACCAATCCATTACAAAGTTTGTGAAATATATATTGATTTAATTATACAGTTAGTTCTTAACAAATAATGTATATGTTTGGACCTTCTGAGCCTCAATGAGTTCATCTAGTTTGTAAAGTACAATAATGATTTCATTCTCCAACCTAATTTCACATGTAAATGTTCCCCACTGCCCATAATTAATCCAGTTAGAGCCACTTTCTGCAAGTTTCACTGCATGAACTCAACCAAAGAGAACAGAATGGATCCTTACAAATAAAGAAGATGATATTGAAACATTTTCTCACAATGATTTCTCAAAATAAAGTTATGAGGAAACATTTTAACACCAGTTTCACAGTATTACAGTAAGCCTGTTCCTGATCATTTATTTCTTGGTAAACTCTGCCATCTGCTGGTAGAACAGAGGAAGTACAGTCAGCGCAGATTCAATTACAAAAAATTTTCCATTATAAAAATGTTTTCATATCTTTGACTTCATCTTTTATATCGAGAAAATTATTGTTATGTCAAGAATAATTCAATTTTGTGTCTCTAGAAATATATTAGTCAGTCCAAATGTGTGTGTATTATTAAATATAATGTGTTACTGCCACACGCTGTGCTTTAGATCTTTTATCTAATTTTAACTCGCACTGCTCAAGTCACTTTTATTTTTTTATTGTACATAATATATCTTTCTTGAGTCTACATTTTACACATGTTGCACACTTCCTGTCTTGAGTTATTTGATTCATGCCAATGTCACCTTATATGAGAAAAGATGCTGCTGTCAGCTCCTCCAACAACAATACATATGGACTAAAATGTTTCATAGTAAACCAACTTTATTGGATAATTTTACAGTCAGACAAACTGCGAAAACAAAGACAATATAAATGTGGAGCTTTTCATAATTATAAACTATGAAACAATGTCACAAAATTAACTCAAAATGGGGTCAATGTTTTCTCCCCTACCACACATCCTCAAGCCGCTGTGTCGTGGCTCGTATTACGCTGCATCACAAAAAGACACTTACATTAAACTATCAACAACATCATACAAAGTTCAAAAATAAATTATCTATTTGCGAAGTCTCCCGGTTGTTCCGATGGCTTTTCTTCTCAATGCAAACACAGAGAGCTTAAAGGAAAGTTTATACAGTCTGAACTACAACCAAACACACTAGAAAAAAAACCTGCAAACAAAACAAAACTGAGGCTTTTTTAAATAACAAATGAAAAACAAACCCTGCTTTATTCTAAAAACTAAACAACAGCATTTTAACTATAACAATGTGAAGCGAGTGTGCACAACATCGGCTGCTTCTTGGAGTGCGCCTCTTCTCAGCACAGACCGTGTAAGGCAGAGCACTACCAAGGATCATTTTGACACTGAGTAAATGGCCACAATTGTGTTAAATTATAGTATTTATTCTCCTGATTGTCAGAACTGCTTTTGGTTTTAGAGTCCAGCCACAAAAAGACTAATCCCTGTGTTTTAAGCTCTGAATGAAAATAGCCCAAGATAAAAAAACAACAAATTGAGAAGTGCTGTGGCGCCCTCTGGAGGGAAGGAAACGTAAAGGGAAAATGTTGCTTTGTTTTGGCAAAATGGACTGAATTTTAAAGAATGTATGTTTTTAAACGAATGAATAAACAAAACTCAAAAGCGACTGTGACACACAAGTTCATATTTCTCAGGCACAACACAAAGACTGTCGTAAATGATGTATTATAGAGTCAAAAGTCTACTCTGGAGTCTATAAAGTAACAAAAGCAACAATGTTTTTAGCGTTCAAGTAATTTATTCTTGCATTTTACCCATTCAGAGTTAGAGTAGGCCCAGGTTAGAAGTGCTCAAAGCGTGTGATGTCTATTTCTAGTTTCAAGTTTCAATGGCACCCTTTTAAAGAATGATTCCATCTCAATTGTTTTCCATGAGTCCAACCGGTGTGGTCACAAATGTGGTCACAAAGACACACAACTTGCTTCTTTCTCAACTTCAAACTTTAAAGCAAAACGTCCTTGATTTAGGTCCTTAACACTCTGAACAAAAACATGCAAAAAGGTGGAAATGAAACGAGAAAACGGTCAGTGTCTGTTTTGCATATTTGTGCGTTTTCAGGCCATTTCTGGATACGGCTCCTTTGGGGAAACAGCGGACTTCTTTGTTCAAGAGAAATCCAATAGTGACAAAATGTGGATTCACGTTCCTTTGTGAAGAGACCCTGAGGACGTCGAATGACTGTTCACCTGCAGGAACCAAAGAGAAGAGGTGAGGTCGGGATTCACAGATGTCTCTTTGAGTGTAGTCATCATTACTAAAAAAATTAATTTATAGAAAATGTGCAACATACTTAGATACAGATCATCCCCTTCTTATAGACAAACATGCAATACAATAATAGATAACTGGAGCCAAACTGTTTTTTTGTTCTTAATACATTTATAAGCAAATGACTAAATGACTTGAGGGCAAAACTGATTCTACATTACATGATCTGGTAGTTTTGCTTTACTGTGACATGTAAACAAAGTAGATACTGTACTCTCCCGACTGAGCCAAATGTGCCGTACTGATGGAGAATTCTGCATTAAACCATATAAATACCTTGCTGTCAGAGTTCATATCCCATTAATATTGTTTTAGGCAAATAGAAATCGTTTTAAGAATTAGTTGTATCCTTTCTATGAACCCCATCAGGCCCATATCTAATCACAACGCATTTTGAGATTTGACAGTACATAAGCTGAGTTTTTTTCCTTTCCACTTTGGTTTTGATAACATTATTTTGGATACAGACTCTGTGTTGCAACACGCAAACAAGAGCTTCACCATAAGAACCATGAAATTCTGGAGTCTGTACACATCTGAATACAACAACGAGCCCCATTATGAGCCCTTTGACATGGAGGCTCTAAGCCCCCACACCAGCAGGTGGCAGTGCAGAGAGCCCCAGGAAACCCCTGTGGATTCTGCCATCCAGCCACCATTCTCCTTTGGAGGATAGTTCTGGGGTCAACCCCAGAAAGCATAGTTCTTAGAGCTGTAGCAGCTGAAGTAGCTGCACAGAGGTAAAGTTAAAGCAGCAGCTCCACCACACAGCTGAGTCTGCTTCAGAGGATACTGCCTCACGATACTGAGGAGGCCGAAGAGAACTCTGAAGAAGCCTGAAGTGCAGTGCACACACAGGCTGCAAATAATATCACTTTATATATTTCCTGATTTGTCATTATTTTGTCCTTCATTGCTGTTTTATTGTCAATGTGTATTGAAGAGCAAGAAGGGATTAATACAAAAATAAGGCTATTTACTTAGTAATAGTTAGGATGCTTCTTCACCTCCTGATTAAATACAAGTTAAAAGATTTACTGAGATGCATAGATCAGATCAAATATCAAGTTTTTGATAAGAGTCTCCTTGAGAATTCTGATGGATGGTTGCCATACTGAGTATTAGAAAACTACAGTTCATTTTGTGTCTATTGTCATCATGTTGTCATCATACCTGTTTTGAACTTTCAGACGACGAGTGGAGTTCATTTGCATAACGTTCATTCAGCTGCATCATTGCTGAAAAAAAGAATACATTATATTTACATTCAGACAAACCAATGATTCATCAACCTCTCAAGACAAACGTGTGAATACCTTGTGGATCGAGTCGGGGGTCGACAAAGCCCCAGTGCTGGTACAGAGCGGCCAGATCATGTGGACTGTAGTTTTTCAAGAGGTTTAAAATATTTATATCCATTGGCATTTGTCCCGTGGATTCACCTTTTCCCTGAGCGAATAGGAGCGGGTCCATGTAGGCTTTGCTCCCGTGCAGACCCCACATGTTCAAGGCTGCCCACACGTCGTGACTTTTCAGACCTGAGCTGGGGTCACATGACTGTCTTTGGGGGTGGAGCCTATTTGAGTTTGAGGAAGTGCTACTGTGGTGGTTTCGGGCCAACATAAAACCTAAGCCCTCTTGTGGTAAATTGCCCTTGACTCTATGGCTTCTGTGTTTGGGACTCGACTGGGCACTGGATGTACTCTTGATTGGTCCTACAGCACCTGACGAAGCGGTCCCCTTACTTCCTCCAACTACCGAGGTCTTCTGAGGCCCGGTCTTCCCTGTCCCGTCCACAGTATGAGGGCCTTTCGCGTGACCGCTCTTGGACTTTGGCGCTGCGGATTGGCCTTTGGAGCTGGAGTGCTTAGTGCTACTGTTACTGCTTGCGCTACTTCGGCCGCTGCTGTTTGCGTTGGCGCGAGGAGGCTGCGTCCGCTGAGTTCGTGGGGCGGGTAAAGTGGGACAGTCTTTACCCTCGAGGAAAGGCGGAGCTCCTGTACGTCTCCAGGGGGCGGAGCCTGTTTTTACGCTCTTAAAAGTGATTGGACTAGGGGCCCATTTGGGAGCCATAGAGCTGGCGCCGTCCACTCTGTGCGCCACACGCTGGTGGATCCACAGTACTTCGGGATAGTTGGATGTGTGGGAGCAGTACGGACACTGATTTCTAACCAGACCCTCGGGTTTGACGGCAGCGACATCTGCGCCCTCGACAGCGCACAGATTAAGGAGTGTGCCGGGATCTCCTTTGACCTCGGAGGATTCTAGCTTTTCAGTTTTGATGTTGTGTGTCTCTGAAGTCCCCGGGACAGGAGTGTAGGTGTAAGGGTTCCAGTAGGTTTGACTGAGCAGTGCGCTTCTCGACTTGAGGTAGTCCATATACCTGGAAAAGGCACAACAATAACATACAATTTAGTCTTTTGAAAACAACATACTGTACATTTCACGTTTATAGCAAAATGCTAATTGCTCCAATACAACTTCAAACAAACAAATAGTAATAGTTTGTGATTAAAACTGTGATGAAATACTTATTTTGTTATTTGTATTAATTCAAATATAATGGAGCCCCCCTCTTCCAGAAGTAAAAACTGCATACATTTTTTCAAAAATAATACTTGATAATACTTGATAACACATTGAAGGTGTTCAGGGCTGATACGCTGTCTGGTCAGTAGTCACCACAAGACGTATGTTTATATTTGAAGTATTTAAGTAGTTATTAGAAATTGAAAAGCTGTATGATTGTGCTTTACGAGCAGTAAACCACCCCAGGGTATGTAACGAAAAGGTAAGGTGAGGTTTACTTTATTGGCCTCATAGGGAAATGTGTTCGCTGCGTTTGACCCATCTTTAATGCCACTTGGAAAACCTCTGAGTAGTTTTTCCACATAGCTAGTTCCTCCATTGTTTGGCCTTTTATATTGGGCTTTTCAAAGAGATATGTTACTTCTGGACCCAGAGCTGACTGCCAAGTGGGAGGGACACTTCTGTAATATTGTTGAAAAGCAAGAATGAGGTGGTCATTGTACCTGGAGGATTTGGAGGAAGTCTGTTTCTGAGCCAGGAAGTCCTGATGCGTCTTCATCAGGTGGGACTTGAGCAGTGATGCGTCTACAGTGTGGAAATCACAGTGTTCACAAAAGACGGGCTGTTTATCTGAGAAACAAAAGTACAGACAATGCATCATATTTTTAATACAGTGTACACATTTTCTCTAAAGACATCATTGTACTGTTTACAAGCACTAGGTTCATGTAAACACAATTAGTTTTTAGCTTATCAATCAAGCTTATAGCCCATAAATTTAACTGAATAAACTTGGTCACAGAAATCAAAAACAGTGCATTTTAAAACCACAGGATATATGTGTATTTTGTGAATGTGAAATCCTGACATCCTTATATTAATGTAGCGTGCTGTAGAGTGTGTAGAGTGCTTTACCTTCTCTCTCTTGGCTCTTGACGCTGGCTTTAGCTGAGCTGGGAGTGTCCTTGACTTTCTTGGCCTGCAGAGCTTCATAAAAAGCATGGCCCAGCCCGTTGAGCAGGATGCGGTCCTGGCAGATCCGCTTGTCCAGAGTTTTACCGCTGCAGAGGCCTGTCTCCGTCTTCTTCTTTTTAACACTAGACGAGGAGTTGTCCGTTTGCTTCCTCTTTTTTTCTTGTTTCAGCGGAATATATTCTCCCTTCTCCATGTCGTATGCCACTTCAGCGTCCGCCAGCCTCTCCTCCCATCCCAGACCTTTCTCCGTAACCTCTGCCAGGCGCCCCCTTGTGGCCAGCTGCCACGCCTGATAGCTACAAACTGGATCCAGCTCTAAAATTCTTTTGCTATTACAAGTTTTATCCGTGTTCTCTTTTTCCCCTGCAGAAGTAAGATTCAGGCTTTTCATAAACTGCCTTTTGACCGTGTCCTTATCAGAGCCCTCTTTATCGTCTTGTGGCGTGCTTTGTATGTGATTGCGAGTGTGATTCCCCCTGTGCAGCTTTTCGTGTTCTTGCAATGTCTTTAAATCGTGGAAAAAGTTCCCGCAGCTGGCACAAAGCTCGTACAGGCACTCGTCGTATATCAGCGACACCGGGTTCTGGGGCACGCCGTTGATGGTGGCCGGCAGATCACAGTCTTTACCGCTCTTCATCTGTGCTTTGACTTTATGTATGCGCATGTGGCTTTGGAGGAACCAGGCTTGACGAAATCGCCGTCCGCAGATCTTGCACCCGTGGTCCTGGACGTTGCTGTGTTTTTTCATGTGTGTCTTGAGGAGTAAGACCTGAGGGAACACTTGGCTACAAATGATGCACGTGAACGGCCCTGAATCGTCTCCATCCACTTCCTGAGCTTTGACCTTCTTCTTAGCGGTTTTCTTCTTCACCTTGCCGTTGACGTTGTGTTTCTTGTCGCCCACCGTCTTGTCCGTTTCGCTTGGCTCGGGTGACTCGGCGGCATTGTCCTTCGCCCCTTCCTGATCCAAGTCCCCCTCTTTGTCGCTGGAACTTTGGGCCAGCAGTCCCAGTTTATGGCTTCGTACGTGTGCTTTTAGGCTGCCTTTCTGTGCAGTCCGATGCTCGCAATAAGGACATTTGTATGGCTTTTCCCGCGTGTGGCGTCGCATGTGCTGAGACAGGGAGCTGAGGAGGGGAAAGCTGCGGCCACAGACCCCGCAGGTGTGGGCCGACGACCCGTCTTCCTCCGGCTCCGTTTTCATTTTGTCTGCGCACTTCTTAGCCCCATCTTCCTTCTCTTCCAACGCCATAACTAATAAATCCTCAAGAAATGTTGATATTCCAAACGCTAGCAAGTCATAGGAGGGTTCAAAATAGTAGAGGAAATCACAGCATTGGTTTCCATCCTGGTTCGAGAGTACTTTCTTCAATGGTGATCGAAACCTGAAAAAAGAAAAGCAAAACAATTTAATCAACTGCATTTATATTTGTATGAAATTCATTTTATATCATGTCTTTTAAAGGAGCAGTATGTACAAATCTGGCTAAAAGTGGTACTGCACTCAGGTTGCCAGATATGGAGACAAATCCAGCTGGGACCATAATATCTGAATAGACCAGAGTTTAGTCAACAACAAATCTATAACCAACACCTATTTCACCAAAATAGAAATCCTGGCGAATCATAACGAGACCATTTTTAGTTCTGCGGCCACATGGTACTTTACCAGTGTGATTAGCGCGACATTGTGTGTTCTGGCAACCCGGATCACAGACTTTCTGATTGGTTAAACGGTGGAGGGCGGGACATCAAAATGAAAACAATAACAAGGGCTGTAAAAATCATTTCGAAATCCAAATATCTCGACTGAACTGTTAGAACATGTTTTATTATATTATATTATATATTTTTACATAAAAATCTTAGACAATCTTAAATTTTCTCTCCCTCAACTCTTAAAACAGCTGCTATGTAATGACTATGAAAAATGTCAAAAGGGGGTGCTACAGAGTCACAGATTCTAGTGTTGATATGTGAGTGATTTGTACTAGGTTACTACAAACAACCAAACAGTGATAAAACAGCAGTGAAAATACTTGAAAATAACGGTCACTGACATAGAACACACTAAACTACGTACATCCATGACATTATTTGTAGGTATCTCAGATACGCAGTGACTCTCCGGCAGAAGGAGCATCACATTGTCCTCCTTTTGTGCCGTTCACAAAGCGGTCATTCTGTCTAATGCACATAGTGCCCATAGTGTTTGTGTCTGAGTCTCCACATGCATGGCCCGCGTTTCCTCTCCTAAATTGAGTGTGTGATGTGAAGCATGAAGGCTTGTATTCATTCGTGGCTGATTGGGATGAGCCCTGAGGGGTTGGCCACTCTAATCCACAATCAATAACCCATTATGCACAAACTTCATTTAAAACACACATCTGTAAAGTATGAGGCTATGAGCGGGGCTAGGTGTTGGGTTTGCACACAAGAACACGTCCAAATAGAGTTGGACATTACATCAAAATATCACAAAAGACAAGTTAGACATTCCTTTCTTATTTGTAACTGTCCTATTTTTCATGATGAAATTCAAAACAAGGAAGCTGACACCACGTATAATTTCACATTCAACTATTGTCACTTTCTATTCGCATTTCTAATATAGTGTTGTTCTATTGCCCATACGACTCCCAGCTACTATAAAAACCATATCTTTACATCTGGACTGAAATCTTGACATCCACAAGGCACATTATCATCAGCTGACCGACTGCTCTGGGAGGGGAGAGTGAAACCCTTTGCCCACAACCTGAAATCCTATCTTGCCTCTTTTGGCTGCAGCGTCCCGGGGCAAACATGATGTTAGTGTTTTAGTGAAAGAGAAATACTCAGTGGTATGAATCCAGCCGGGCAGCAAAGAAAAAACCTGCCATTGTGTGAGTCGCACCAGAACTGTCACATCGGCTCATGTCTGCCTCTGCGCCCGCACTGGGGGGTCGGCGGAGTTATTGTTGGGCCAAAGAGGTCCCGGGCTCTCTCGCCAGTGTCTTACCAATACATGCCTGCACAAAACACCAGCACAATAGACAACTCTTGCTTGTGTTGTCAGTGATTGAATGAGGGGAAAGAAGGTGCAATGTGTGAGTGAAGGGTAGAAAGATGTTTGCTGGAATGGAGTGTGTCGGACTAATTATCTGTGGGCGCATCTGCCTGCTCCGGGGCGGTCACGGGCGCTCATTCGCTACCACAGGGGATGGGGATAGGCACTGGGAGGAGTTTAGAATGGTTTTTCCGAACATGGCAGGTGTTTTGTGGGCAGACGCTATCAGATTAGTGCACGGCCTATGTGGCACACTGTCTCCGAGAGGGGGAGGATGTGCGAGAGAGAAACTCGAGGGGGGCAATTACGGGGTTAAGGTTAAGGCGAATGTAATGAGTTAACACAATGGGGATGAAGTCAGGGAGCTGAGGCAACAGATGGGAATAAACGGGCCATCAGTGTGGAGCCTACAGTAAGAGCTTATGTCTGTGCCGCCGAAAGACCTGCTTAAATATCATAGATTCAAATGGTGTTGTCCGCTAAAAAAGGAGCCTCAACATTTGGTTAAAAGCTTCAGGTACATATGCATTTGAGAATTTCCACACCACACCTTCATTATTTTGGCCATATTTTTCAGATTAGCAATGACACAAACTTATTTTTCCCATTTAACGTTAAGGAATCCATATATTGTCAAATAAATGTGCTGTTATCGTTGCGCCAATCCCGTGGAGAAGTTAATGCAAGGCACCCCAGGAACGTACAAGTACTGGAAGCTTTTGCAAAGTGAGCAGAATGAGCAGATTTACCATCAGACTGGATAAAGAACCTCGTCCACAGCTAGCACGAAAGACTCCAAGCTGTCATGGACGTTAAAGCGGGATATGCACACTATTGGGAACTGGGGGATGGAAACTTCTAATCAAGGTCATGTGAGTATTTCTGTTGTCATTATAATTTGAAGAACACATGTTTATTTGACGATAAATGGCTTCACACAACCACCAAAAAAAAAGTGACAGAAGAAGAAAAAATATGACCAAAAATATATACAATTCTACATATTTGAACCCGTATAAGGACCCATATTCAATCTATACAAGCCACTTCATCTTTGTCATAACCTCTGCATCTGTTGTCTTCATCACTGCACACACAGGGGCGATGAGAGGAGTAGTACAGAGGGACAAACATGTTGCTCTAGGGGCTTAGCTCATTTCTTTTCTACGGCCTTTTTCTCTGTCTTTTCTTTGGCAGATGAATAGGCATGTCCAGTCAGCTGTCCTGGCATTGATTCGTCCTGACGTCCCAACCAGCTCAGCACAAACTCACTGCTGCTGCTGCTGCTGCTGCTGCTCCGAGCCTGTGTGCTCACCCGAAACAATTCAGTCTTATGTGTGTATCGTAATGTGTGCACCGGGCTGCCAGCTGCACCCGTGAGAGAGGTGCAGGGGCCAACTTCCTGCTCGGGATCCCTCCAGGTTTGGATTTACCGAGCAAGGCAGCAAGAGGATTTTATGTTTGACCAATGACAAGTTGTACTCTGCTGACTAAAAGATAAACACGAGGGAATCAGTTGAATTAAAATGGCATTATTACTAACAATTACCCAAAGGCTGCCATTTCTCATGCAGGTAAACCATAGATAGAAAACTGTAGAGCTGTTAGTTTTGTGACAAAATATGTTGTAGTCGACCCATTTCTTAAATATAAATTCAAAGGATTCACAAAAGAATATCATAGACGAAAAACAAATTAGCAGAATATTTTGGAATATTTGGTATATCTTCTTGCTTTCCAGAATCAGAATCAGAATCAATGTATTGCCATTTGCAGAAAAAAACAACAACATTGAAATACAAACAGGAGACACCGGGGGCACCAACACCACAAAGCACACACACACACACACACACACACACACACACAATAAGAATAAAAATAGCGAGGCAAGACACAGTGAGGCACATATAAAACTCTTAAAAGCATTATTAAGAAGCGACGAAGGAGCTACAAAGAGAAGCAGGTCTCAGGGCGCTCTGTCCGTTGTTAAAGAGGGTCAAACACATATAACTAATAGTTTTGAGAGCTTTTGTTACACATATTTTTGTCAACCAATCTAACGGCGAACGACCAAGCCCTAGTACATCCCTACAGCCCTAGGAATGTATCAGTAGCTTTTCCTTTATGCTTCTAAATATAGATACTTCTTTCATATTTCTGTCTTTATGGATGAAACTATACAATAAAAAGGGATGTCTTGTCGTGTTATTATTGCACTAAGAGCTGGTCGTTTTTTACTGGCAGCGTCTGCATATGTGCCTGTGTTGGGTTTGCTGATGTCATCCAAATATTTCCAACAAGCAGTGGTGGGCCGGTCCTGTGCCAGAGGACCCCTGACTGGATGGAGCATGTGACTGTCCTTATGCTAGTGCTCAAATCCATAGTCCCTAAGCCTCACCTCCCCATCCTCTGTGTTCAGGCCAGTAATCCTATGTTTTTGTCAACCACCAAAACAACATGAAATAAAAGTTCAAAATAAGGATTACAGAGGTTTGCCTTCTTCTAATGCAGCTTAAAGACAAAAGGGGTCAGAATTTGTGATTGTGAAGGATTTGGTGTATGAAATAAATATTTAACTGTTACTTAAGGCAAATAGTCCAGATGGAAAACTCTTGTTATACATAGTTGCACAGAAGAATAGACTGTCACAGAGTTTTGAGTCTAAAATCAGATGTTTCTTAAACTACTGTATATATAGACAATTAGTTAATGCTAACAAATGCATATTTTCTGTCTTGGATACTTTTCCAGGATTCATAAAGGAGACCACCTTAACAGTTTGTGGTCATTTTCCTGTTGATTTGTCATTTCTATAGATTATGTCAGATGCATTAATATACCACTACATAACCAGGGATTCATTCATATTCATAAGTTAATATTTTAGATGTTTAGACACATATCCGGTGAGTCACTTGTCGAAAAGGTTCATGGTTAGGTTAGACATATTTCTCAATCAGTACAAAAGGGCATTGTTTCACCAAATCTGTAGCACTTTAAAATATAGTACAAACTAGTACTAATAGTTGCAGATTAGCAGACAATGTTGAAATGCACCATAGGTTTTGCATGTTTAAAAGCAGTTCATACATTATCATCAATCATAAGTGCTGTATAGAATAATATTATTCCACAGCTGTTGGTAAAAACAAGGGGCTGAATTCTTGTTTATGACCTCTCTCAGTAATTGCCATGTTAGT